GCAAGGTTTACGACATAACGAAATTTGCAAAGATTACACACGGAGACATTGAACCTCTTGCCACCCAAGCCATGATGCAGCCTTTCGCCGGATTGAATCTGGATGAGTACTTCCCACCACCTCTATCAAAAGCCTGCAGCTACCTGGTCACCGATGAAGCCACAAGATTGCTTGCGAACACTACCGTTCTATATCCTCAGGGGGTTCATACATCTGGTCCTCTTTATCAAACGAACAACAACACAAAATTGCACAGTATCGACTGGTACAGCGACACATTTCTTCCAAAGATACAAGAATACTACAAGGGTGATCTCGTAACTACAAAGGGGTCTATCAGTTCACAAGGTTCTAACCGCGAATGGGTCATCTTGAACGGAAAGATATATGACCTGACAGACTATTTCTACACTAAACAGACTGAGGGGAACATCGCAATGTATTCTTGGATTCCTGAGGAGGTATCAGATCTGATTCAACAGAATGCTGGCAGCGACATCACAAGCCAGTGGAAAGACAACAACCCCGACTACGAGAAGACTTTGAACTGCATGGAAAATGCTTTCTATGAAGGAATACCGGATTTTAGAGACACCGCAAGATGTCAGGTCAACAATTACCTCTTGCTTGCTTTTACCATTGTTCTTTGCGCCGTCATTCTCACCAAATTTCTGTCTGCACTGCAGTTTGGTTCCAGACGCAGACCAGCAGCCCAGGACAAATTTGTAATTTGTCAGGTCCCAGCTTATACAGAAGGCGAAGATCAGCTACGGAAAGCTCTTGATTCATTGACAGCCCTCCAATACGACAATAAGAGGAAGCTGATATGTGTCATGTGTGACGGGATGATTGTGGGAGGCGGTAATGACAGGCCAACTCCAAAGATTGTACTCGATATCCTCGGCGTTGATCCAAAAATTGACCCTCCCGCACTTCCGTTCAAAGCTGTTGGACAAGGCAACGAGCAACTTAATTACGGCAAAGTCTACTCTGGTCTGTACGAGTATGAGGGGAATGTGGTACCATATATCGTTGTGGTGAAGGTCGGCAAGGAGTCCGAACAGACAAAATCAAAACCTGGAAATCGGGGGAAACGAGACTCACAGATTCTGCTTCTTAGCTTCCTCAATCGTGTCCACCATCGCTCACCAATGTCACCACTCGAGCTCGAAATGTTCCATCAAATCAACAACATTATCGGCGTGGATCCTGAGCTATACGAGTACCTTTTCATGGTTGATGCAGATACTAGCGTCAAGGAAGACTCACTGAATCGGCTTGTAGCAAGCTGCGCCAATGATGCGAAAATCGCAGGCATTTGTGGCGAAACAAGCTTGGAGAACGAGGAACGAAGTTGGTGGACCATGATACAAGTCTACGAGTACTATATATCCCATCATCTGGCAAAGGCATTCGAGTCGTTGTTCGGTTCGGTAACTTGTTTGCCCGGATGGTGAGTCCAATTTCCCATCTTCAAAGCCCGCTAGACCTACTGACATTATGCTAGTTTCTGCATGTACCGACTTCGAACAGCGGACAAGGGTCGCCCATTGATCATCTCCGACAAAGTCATCAATGATTACAATACCTGCAATGTGGACACACTGCACAAGAAGAATCTCCTGTCCTTGGGAGAAGACAGATATCTTACAACGATCATGACGAAACATTTTCCATCAATGTCGTTCAAATTCGTACCAGACGCTTACGCTAAAACCGCAGCGCCGGAGACGTGGGGTGTTCTCCTGTCTCAAAGACGACGTTGGATCAATTCCACAATTCACAACCTGGCCGAGCTTGTCTGGCTCAAAGATCTTTGTGGGTTTTGCTGCTTTAGTATGCGATTTGTGGTCTTCATCGACCTTTTCGGAACCATCATCCTTCCTGCTACCTGCGGGTATCTAGGATATCTAATATACCGTGTTGCGAGCCATACCGGTCAATTTCCACTAATTTCCCTCGTCATCTTAGGATGCGTATATGGCCTTCAGGCGATCATATTCCTAATCAAAAGACAATGGCAACACATTGGGTGGATGATTATTTACCTCCTCGCGTTCCCAATCTACTCTTTCGTGCTTCCGATATATTCATTTTGGAACCAAGACAATTTTACCTGGGGAAACACTAGGATCGTTCTTGGCGAGAAAGGCAACAAGCAGATTGTGGCCCTTGAAGATGAAGGGTTCGATCCTCGAAGCGTCCCACTTCAGAGATGGGATGATTACGCAGCGACGAACAACCTACCAGGTCGTCGCGGCATGGCAGGCATCATGGAGAAGAGCTATGAGGACGAATTTGCAAACAATGGCTTTGAGATGGACGACATCCACTCGGTGTACTCGTCCGCTAAGCCTGCTTCCACCATACTCACTGGGTTCCAAAACGCACCGCCTGCATACATGCCACCTCATTCGCCTGCAGCTTTCGGGCATCCGAACAGACAATCCATGTATTCGTTCACTCCTTACAAGGACCGACCGCAGTATTCACGTCCGCATTCGAGACTGCAATCAGTGACAGGTATGAGCGATCATTACCAGGACCATCCATACCAGAGGATGAGCATGCCAAGCACAGACAATCTCATTGCTATGCAATCACCGCCACTACGGCAGAATCGAAGCCCACTTGGATATGGGAGCAGGCCTGTGAGCACCGTGGACTTCCGGGGAACGTACAGCGGCCCCGACGACGGTGCGATTGTCGAGGCTGTACAGAGCTGTCTCGCAGAGGTGGACTTGGACAACGTGACGAAGAAACAAGTGCGCGCATTAGTTGAGCAGCGATTGCAGACAGAATTGACGGGGGAGAAGAGAGCGTTCATGGACCAGCAGATTGATGCTGAGTTGGCGAATATGTAAATGCAATCATTTATTGGTACGAAAAGCGGGTTTTGAGCATTTACTTGGGATCATGGCATCGAGCTGATGGAAATTGCATCAGGAAGGGAGCGGGGTTGGGTAGCATAGAGCATTTAATTGGCGCTATGCTTGCCAGGGACATTGTTCTTGTCACGATGTGAATTTGTACAGATATGTTGATGCTCATAGAGAGTATGTAAATGCAATGCAGAGTGCCGCTCACAACGCTGAAACCAAGCCCTTTCTTTCCATCTTCACCGCTTGCTCCCATCACCTGCCAGAATGTTTTTCATCCTCGATCTGCCTCCTCAGATCGTCCAGTACTCCCTCTCTCGTCTTCCAATGTGCTTCCAATCCCTCCACCATCTCCCTAACCCCCTTAATCTCATTCTCCACTCCTTTCAAAGCCTCACCAGCCTTACTTCTGCCCTCGCCCCTCTCCAATTCTCGGATCTCTTTCCGCTTATAATCCAACAGCATTTCCAGCTCTCTCTTCACAAGCGCCGGCTTACTTTCCTCTTCCCTTTTCCGTCCGCTTTTGCCCTTCGCTCTCGATTCAATCGTATCAATCTTATTTTCCAGATCTTGAAGTTGTCTCTTCAGCCTCACCTCTTCCCAGTCCTCAGTCGTACGTGTACTACTGAAATTTGTGCCAGAAGGTTGATAAGTGCTCTTCCCGCCCACACCCAGCCGGCTAAGGTACGTATCCCCAAACTTGGCTTTGCGCCCTGTACTCGTGTCCTCATCCTCATAGCCCCAGCGCTGAGCGGGCGATCTTGATTTGACGCTCCTGTTCTCGGGGTTGTAGTCGATTTGGCCTTGCTCGAATGTGGCGCGAAGCGAGGCGGGGACGGAGCGCGGGATGCGGTAGCCTTCGTGTCTGTTGTTTAGTATATGTAGGAATGCCAACGCCGCATGCTTCCCTATCGCTGGTTCCGAAGCTGGATTTGCCAGGTTCCATGCAGAGCGGAGGTCTGTGTCTGGGACATCGAGTGAGGCGTAGAGGGATTCGAGAGATTGGAATGTGAGGGCGCCGTGTGGGCCTTTGTTCGCTGTGTATATTGACTCGTACTTTGATTTGTCGCTGGGTGACATGTACCAGTCGAAGCCGTCTTTGAGGCCCGGCGTGTCGTCGTCGTCATCGGAGGGTGAGATGGGGGAGAACGCGGGTTGATTACCGGAGAGGGCACGGGTTGCTTGGACGAGATGAGCTTTAGATTCGGGGACGAGCCAGTCAGGAAGTGAGGAGGGAACGTCTGCGTATTCCTGGGTGTAAGGGTCAGCATGGGCGTTTCTCTAGGCAGCTGTATGTAGACAACGCAGCTCTGCTGTGTTCTGGCAGGGGGGATGAACATACGCCATTCACAAGGTCAAAGATGATCCGCATGGCCACGCAAAACTCCTCAAAATCGAGGTTTCCATCATTGTCGACGTCTGCGAGGTCCCAGACTCTCGCAAGTTGATCCTCTCGGAGCTGGCTGTTCTTGAGTACGGAAGCTGCTTGATCTCCGCTCAGGTGGGTCCCACCATTGGCTAGAGGAGAGAAGATTTCCCAGTACTTTTCTACCTCTGCCTGTTCTATCCGTTTATTTGACATTGTTCATGGCATGACAAGCATAGCATGCTCTGCACATCTTCAGGCTAGCAATCGCGGCTATCGCGGTTCTCGGACCGCACTTTCGGACCGTACAGTCCACTTTCTGTCGACAACAACACGTAGATAGACATCTAGAGAAAATTAGCCAGCGTAATTCTCCTTTGATCAATGCTGGAATGAAGGAGATATATCAAGTCAGATAATATCGAGAAGTCCGAATTGTGTCACATTGATGACATTTGACTGGGCTGCTGACCGATCAACCCGTGAGTAGGATAACAGGCTTTTCTCAAGAAAATTGCATAGGGTCAAGCCACCCTTAACAAACTATCTAACCCTAACTTTGGGATCTATGAAAAAAGAAGTACCATTTCTTGCTTGCGTGGCCGTGGATTGGGTCAAAGAAGAGTTGAAAACGCCGCAGAGCCAGCCGAGAACGAACACATATGCTGGACGATCAACCCCTTTAAGGCGACTATGAAGGCGGTTCAACTTGCTCGGCAGGCCTCTCGATCTCTCCTCTGACCACATTTCCGGCTTCAGTTCCGCACGTATGTTAGATAGGCCTGGGGAGCTGACACCCAATTATCGAAGGACACAGTCCACTTGCCCAGTGCAAAGAGCTGCGGAGGCTCTGTCTTCTTCGTCCTATCGTTGGCCCAAATCCTATTGAGTTGCACTTGCATACAGTTCCACTGGTCCAGATAGGTGGCTTGGGTATTTGGCATCTCGAGTGGTACGTTGGTATAGAACGCAAAATCACTGTAGGTCTGCTGGAGCGCATTTTGGACTTCTTGGATATCTTCGGGTGTCTCCGGGCGCTCTGCGCGACAGTCGAAGTCGAATGTCAGATCGGCTTTCTTCTGCACCTTATCTAGGTACTTCTGTTTGGCTTCCGGATCTTGACGGACTTGTGCACGCTCAGGCCGCGTCCCAATGTTAAGCGATCTCATCGATGCCTTCTCCAGATCCGTCAAGTCGCGGCCTATGGTTTGATTGTTTGCTTTTTCTGCTGGCGAGCGAAGTTCGTCCATGAAATTCTCGATCTTCGAATCTTTGGCCCCAGTCGTCCAGCTAATGAGTCCAGCGTCGTTTCGAAATCTTCTGGCACGCTCTCGGACAGTCCCAGAATTGTAAATGGGCTCTGGAGTCTGTTGCCCTGCAGGGTCAGTTGTCCATTTGACCGGGATCCGAGCGACGATATCCATCACGCTCATCTGACCTGATCGCATCCAAGCTTCGGCTCGCCATCCCTCAACCATGCTCGAGATGACCAGCGGTAGGCTTGGAAAATCTCTGATAGGTTGCCCGCGAAAGTCTAGTAGCAGCTTGCCATCGTATTTCAGGTTCCCGATCGCCTTCTTCGACATGTTCTCGGCAGGAGGTGGGTTAAATGAAAGTAGGTCGACTGGGCGATACTTGATATCTTTTCCCCATGACAGTTGATCTTCGTGGACAGCTGTCACATCAAAAGGTGCTGATCCGCATGATGGCTGGTAATCTGTGTGTTTCAGGGTCAGAGGTGCGTAAGGATAGTTTCTAAGGACGTTACCGTAAGTCGCGCCTACTGCCTTTGCAGCTTGTGCGAGCAGCTCCTTGCGATAATTGTGGTGGTATAATGCACTGTCTTCGTGTGCGTTAGCTCTAGCCGTCTGTATGAATGGAGGCTGTGCTCACCCTCTTCGCATTCAGATCCTTCTTGAATTTCTCCTTTCTTAGTACATATGGCGTCCTTAGGGACGAGTTCGTGGGCATTCATCGTAGAGGCAGGCCGATGCCCTGCTTGTGCGAGACCGAGTAAGTTGTATGAAGAAGCGGGCTTTTAGCTTAGAAAGGATCAGGTAATGCTGAATTTGTTCTGGACGGAGGGCAAGTTGTGCGTTGTGTTGTTACCAGGCGTCGGGAAGCTAAGGAAAGATGCCCGAGTTATCTCGGCAATCATCTTGTGTAGAATTGCGTCCATATCCTGGCTTGACAGTCTCCAAGTGATTACTTGGCTGCCTTTGTCCCGAGTCAGGTCGCTTCAAGAGATCGTTAGACACACTATTTTACCGCGGTCCTGCTTACTGTTTGCCAAAGCAAAATCACACTGTTCTGTGGATCCTACACTCTGGATACAAGATCCTGCGCTTTCAAGACTTCTGTTAGCAACTCTTTATTACATACAATTGAAAAACGCTTCTCCATCCGACTATCTAGCTGTGGCGATGCGCTACTAGTGACAAGTCTTACGTCCACACCCCTCGTCCAGCAACCAAAGTTCCTCTTCACACAGCAGTCAACACCAATGGACGACGCCATAAAGGAGAAGCTCCGCCTGGACACTCTTCACGACGAAGAGCTTCTTCGCATCGGCAAGACTCAAGAGCAGGAACGCGAACACATTGTTCGAACCCAAGCCCAAGCACGCGAGCACCTCAAACTTACGCTCGATCTCGAGCATCACGCAATCCACGGCGCAGCCATTGCCCGGCAAAAGGCACTCAATGAGCAAGATTATGAGCACCGCGAACGCCTACTCAAGCTAGAGCGTCAGTATGCGTCGAGTGAGATGGCGCTTAAGCCTAATGAGTCGGTCCCAGAATCTGAGAATGCGGGATCTAGAAACGAGGCAGCGGTAGACACCGAGGAAAGGTTCACTGAACCTGAGAGTGCGGGATCTGGGAATGAAGATTCTGGAGAGCGGGCATCAATGAAGGGCAAGAGCAAGGTGGAATTTTTCGTGCAGATTGCGAAGAATGCAGCCGAGAGGGGGGCAGAGAGGAGACGGGGATAGTGAGAGGCCACTGTCATTGGGGGTTTTTAGGCTGAGTCGGACGAGGTGTCTTGAGGTTTGCATTACGCTGGGGCGAAAGATACTGCATAGGGTCCTCTGATATCATCCCAACCCTCGGTCATACCAAGAAAAAACTTGCGTTGCTCAATTTGATAGCGCTTCCAGCAGCTGAACTCAATAGACATGCCAACAAGGAGGGCCGCTTTCCTTACTTCCTTGCCTTCGCCGAGGCCTTGAGCACCCGACCATCGCGTACTCTGTGGGACTCATCCCTAACTTTCTCAGCCCGGGTGCATCGAAAAGCCTCCACGGGCTCTGAACTCTCGTCGCCAACTTTCCTTTTGGGCTGGCTCAGTCTGAATCGTGTGGGTTGAATTTCCTCCACTGATACAGACCTCTCTCGCTTTGGCTGGCTTAATCTTAGGCGGGTAGGGCGAATGTTCTCGGTGGACAAGGATCTCTCTCGCTTTGGTGGATTCAATACCAGCCGGCCATTCTTCGGGGCGGTAGCGGTCCGAAACTCTCCCATGTTCACATCACCATCCGAGTCTGTGGTGTCCCCGTCGCTTCTCGTCGCGTCCTGATCTTCTTTGGGAGAAGACTGAGCAACCCTCACCCTCATTTCCCTCGCAACCTTCACTTCTAGCTCCTCCGCTACCTTTATCAATTCCTGTGCCTTACGGTAAGCGTCCCTCTGCTCTGCTCGCAAGGTTTGGACCCGAGCCTCCGCGAGCTCGGCTTCGGCGTTAATCTTCTTGACACTCTCTATCGCGAATCTGTACTCGGTGACGAAAATGGCTTTCTCGGTTTTGACGTTGCCTTCCGTACCCCCCCTGATTTCTCCGCTGCGATATATCCAAGGCGTGTGAGGGTTGGCGTTGTGCCTGCGCCATCCCATGTTCATCTTGGCGAGCTCTTTCTGTCTGGCCTTTTCGGCTTCGAAAGCGAGGCGCGAGCGTTTTTGGGCCTCGAGCGCGTAGATGATCCTGTCTTTCTGCTTGAGCTGCTCCTGGAGGGTCTGGATTCTGAGCTTCGAGGCAGCCATTGCAACGGGTGGAGGTGGCATTGAGGCTCGCATTGGACCATTGTTTTCTGGTGATATGTCCCGCGTACCGTACTTTATGCTGGAGGACGGGTTAGCATACAACGTTTGTCAAATCAGTCGAAGCATGGGATAGATTGAGGGAGCACAAAGGAAAGAAAGGACATTTTTCGCAGAGTATCCAGATCATCATACTGCCGAGGAAAGCATCAGGGACCACAGCGGAATATACCTACGACATGTTGGACAGGCCTCTGTCTGTGAGAAATGCAAGTGAGTCTGGGGATCTTGCCACTGTGGGCTGCGACGATGGTCGTGGATTTCAATGATTTTGAATGGTGGTTCGAGGTAGAAAGGACGAGATATGGGTATGATGCCGATGCTGCGTGGATGAACAGAGCAATGTGCTGAATATGCTAGAGAACTCGCCGGTTTCAATGCTCGCAAGGTGGATGAAGGGTAGACAAACTGGAGAACACTTGTGCCCAAGATATGGGTTTCACGGAATATTGCATTAAAAGTTGAGTCACGATGAGACTAGCATGTGAGCCTTCGAGAATATTTGCATTAATCGAGGGCTTATTTGGCTCCTCTTGAGAGAATAAGATACTATCGTGCTTGAAAGTTTCCTCTTGCTTGGCATAGTAATGCCGCCTAGATGCTTCTCTCAGGTAGCTTGGCACGAAGAATGGCATTTGATGCCAAGAATCAACTTGGTATGACTCAGAGGGACTCAATCCCTTGCGATGCCCGACGAATTATTCTGTTGTTGCTATTGCTATGTTGCTACTGCTGCTACTGCTGCTGTGGGCGAATATAAATTCTTTGCCGCAGCTTGAGGTATCAGCTAGAATAGATAACGAGACGTGAACTGCGGACGCAATGACAGGAACTTATCAGATGCTTCGCATCAATCGTATGCTAACATTCGTATCGCTTCTGCCGTGGCCGTTGCCCACGGAGACACCAAAAAAGTAGACAGCTGTTTTCAAAAGACAAAGACATGGGGAAAGAAATGATGCCCGCAGTAAGTGTACCTTTTGAAAAGCCTCTATCTAGTTGGGCTTTAGTTCAAGTGCGTAGTTCAACATGCACCCTCTCGGAATTTCGCAGGCTAAAGGTGTTCGGGGAAGTCCAGCCTGTAAACGTAGCCTAGCTATGTTGTAGCTAGGTTTGGAGAACAGCAGCATGTGAATGTACAGATTTTCGGCAAGCCAGTTGTGCGGTGGAAGATGCAGTAGGAGAATGACCGAGATGAAGGGTCGCCACGTCGGAATGCTGAGATGCTTTCATACATCGCATCAGAGATTTAAGACTGAGCGTGCCAAGACGAGGCTCTTTCCTTCCCTGCCTGCCTTCCTTCCTTCCCTCCTTCCGCGCAGAATGAGATAGGTAGAATACCTCAGCAGGCATAGAATAAGCAAGTGGAATGATGAGGTTCATGAAAATGTGCGCCATGTATTCTGACCTTACCCGTCGGTGATCTACCTTACCTGCCTTAAGATAAGGTACTCTAGTGTGGTGTGGAGCCCTCAGACAGCGCTAAAAATGGTGCCCGCCAGGGACAAGGAAGCCCCAACTTCCACCAGCTTCTTTAACTTGACGACCTTCTCTTTAAGGTACTCAATCCGCTTCAATTATTGAGTCTACATGTCTCGTTGCCTATATATTGACAAGTGTCTTTCTGCAATCAAGCATCAAAGCAGTCAAGGCGCACGCACCGCATCCCTTGGGCTTTGGCAACAGCTACTTTACCCCTTTTGCTTCTCAGGGCATTAACGCAGATATCCAGTAGGTACTAAGTTACATGCAAGGCTTTGCACGCTCAATATGCTTTGAATCTTGCTTCTCCCATGCCCCTTTCCTTCCATTATGGTAGCAGCGAATCGGGACTTCCATCTCAGATTTTCGCCTTTTCTGGCATGCAATCAATCTCTGTACCGTACCGCTACTGAAGCTGGAAATCTACTCACTTGTGACATGGTCTTTGTCGCCGCCCAAAGTATTCCGTGCGCGCTCCGCCTTTGATCCAGCTTCTTCGATGTTGAGCCTCCTCGCTAGATGGCCCCCAACGAGAAAAGATTTGTACGCATCTTGTTCCTCAAGATATTTGACCATTGCTGGCGATGGACCCTTCGCGGTGTTGGGAACAGATATCTTGGACGACTGCGCACCCTTCTGACATCCAACCCCACTAAACAATCCCCCAGAATTAGTAGGAGACCAACTTTGAAAAAAACAACAACCCACGTCATGCTGCAATGCCGCGAATAAAGGGACGATCTGGAAGGATTTCGGACGTCTTCTGTGCTGATGTGATACCAAGCATCAAGAGACTGTGGTCTCAAAAAGTGAATAGAGTTTGAAGATACAACGAAGAGAGTACTTGAATAAACAGCGGCTTTCACAGACATTGAAAAATCTGGAAAACCGGAAGAGATTTATGCTCTGGATGGATTGGAGAAAGAACTGAAGCCGCTGAGACTATGACCACGGCATTCTCTCTTTTCTGACGTTTTCCTGAGGACTCTCCCAATTTGGGCAAAGCGCGTTGGAAAACCCTGCGCGTAGTATCCAACGATACGCAAATCTCGTTGGGCCGATTTCGAAATCAGTGAGTAAAGTACCTTTTCCGACAAGCTTGTGAGGCATTGACTGATTGTGGCAGACTCCTGACAATCTCCCCATCTTGAGCCACGCGATTACCACAAGAACCATAAAGCCTTGCAAAATTGAAGTCGAGGTTTGCCCTACTTGACATTAAATGTAGGAAATCGGCTTGATGTGGCAGGCATCGATATCGAACTAGGCCACTTATGGGCTTCTCCTTGCTTGCCGCTGTTCGTGCAGGTCTGCCGAAGGACCACTGCAGCTTTGCGCCCCCAAAAGTGTGGGAAGGGATTTTTTTTTGGGTGGGTTTTGGAATGGGTCAAGAAGCATCAGGCTGCACCAGCGGCATAAGGCTTGATTCGTCAGTAGGCTGAAACCCCACCGTTTTTCCGCTACAGGGGGCTCCGGATCGCCATGTTAATTTTATCTCTAAAATGACTGTGCCATCCTGTCTTCAAATTTTTCACAATTTCTTACCTCCACCATCCACATCTTTCCTCCTTTCTATACTCACATTCTTCACATCGCACATAGCCCCTACGGCCTTTTCTCCATTCGTTTATTATGATCCTAACGTGATGTGTGCTTGTTTCTGATCACTGTTCACGGCCAACCACAGCTCCATATGCTGATGCCATCTCTCCACACCACTCTCCGTATCTGTTTCTACTCATTTATTTTCCTCGCCTTCTCCTATCACTATCAGAACGTTATTAGAAGGCAGATCATATTGACACAGTTATGTTCGGACACCTGGTGAATTACAGTCCTATAAGCTTTGGGCAGCAGGGCGAAATGAACGACGAGGAGTCCCCTTCAGCACCAGCTTCCATTCCTTCAGTACCATCTTTTAGCACCTTACCTTCAGTACCATCTATTGGCAATGAAGAATGGTGCCATCTCCAGTTTAATGCATTCGCGGATGCGAGCACAACCTCTGCTAGCCCGATCTCTCCCTGTTTCCCAGGTTGCAGTGGTTCATCCGCGGTAGGAGTTGGCAGGTCCAGACACCGGAAACCCGGAAAGTGCTAACTTGCGGTCGCAGGGAATCGCGAGGTCTTATTCGACGACACCGCTGTCTTCGGCAAGTGTTGAAATACCCAGAACGAGTTTGCCTTTGCTTCCCGAGACATCATTGCAAGTCCAGTCGACTGAAGTAAACCTCAAAAAGCACAACAAATTCATCCTTGAGGATCCCACGATGGCCAAAGTCAAGAAGGATAAAGCAATGAGAGCGTGTACTACATGCTTTACCAAAAGGTGGGAGGTACGTTGTCCTTCTTTTGCCTCAGAGCAGTCATCTGTGTAGAGCGTCAGGCAGTCTTCAAGCTAGGATGATCCTGCTAAGTCTTCGACGCCAGTGTTCTGAAAGCGAAGTACCAAATCGCTGCATGCATTGCGTTGGCAAGACTAGCTATTGCAAGGGACCAATCGAAACCCCTCGTCTACTTGACATAGAATGGTTTGACGCAACGACAGCTGCACTTCTTGCACGTCACTACCAATTGATAGATTTTCACTTTGAAAGCGAATCTCTCGGACCTATGCAAGTAGACCTGAGATTGGAGCCTTCATCAGACCAGGAGATTGTGTCAGACAGGCAGACCTATAGTCTTCAAATACCGGGGCTACGAGATGACTTCTACTTCCTTGCGGAGTCTTCCAGTCTTGACGGCGTGTTGGATGCCATTCTTCCTGCCGACGTACCTCTCTGCATAGCACCCAAATCTGGCTTATATGATCTGTCTCTATATGAGGTATGCTCTCATTGACGAACCAAAGTGCTCACACTGACGCGCAAAATGTTTTCAAGTGTCTTTGCCGACGTCTCTACGCATGCATATCCTTGTTGCGCCGCCCAAACGAATGCACATTAGACAAGGCGTACAAGGATGACCGTAGAGCGGTTCACATGGTCGTTGGGTTCCTGTGTCAACTGAACCGCACGGCATCCTCCATCTTCGCGGACATCTTTGAGCACGTTCGAGGATGCTGTTTCGCCAATCGTGATAGACGAGGGACCCCAAATCTGATGTTCATTTTAGCCGAGCATCTTGGTCATATGCACAAAGAGATTCGGCGTTTCGTCGATGTCAAGGGACAATTCTCTGACTTAGTAGATCCCCTCTAGCTCTGTGGACGAGCATAGCTAACAAGCATAGCAGCTCCCTCTGAGTGGGCTCTTCCATAATGCATTTCAACTTCTAGACGAACTCGAGAATCTTGGCAGGGGACTTTGCCCTAGAGCTTTCGAATCAACGTTCCACTCACCTGTTGTGGACGTTGGCAGGATACATCTCACACCCTGTTTCGAACCTAACCCCTATACTAGCACTGACGATACTTTTACTTCATCGTAAGTACGACCTCTACATGATGGGAAGGGTCAAGACGCTGACCTCTCCTTCCTTCAACAGCCAACACACCTCTTTCTTGGAGATCTTGCGCGACTCGACCCCGCACAGATACTTCATTGGCGATCAGCCTCTTTCGATCATGTATAGCAACGACACCCTTGAGTCTTGGCAAAACATGGATGTCGAAGATTCAAACCTCCTTGCCGGACATGATTCTCAGGACGGTGTCAACAATGGTCAAGACATGATCATTGAAGAACATATTCCGTTCGGCGGAGTCGAGGGATTGCAAGCGGAAGCAAACGCCATGCTCAATCCAGGTTGGACTCTAGGACTCGATAATCTCGCAGTCACACAAGATACCGAAGCAAGTGTCAGTACGGATCATTTGCATGCTGGAATGCTCGACTCCATACACCACAGCCAGCACGGTGGTTGGGAACAGCAGCCGAGCGAAGTACAGCAGGCTGGCCATGGCTACTTACAGAGTACTGTCCCCGCATACACCGATGTACGTGATAGCATGTTGACATCTCTACACGATGTAATGGCATCGTCGCAAGCCCAATCGAGTACCAGTCGACGGTCAAAGGCCGCAAACACTACTGCCTCATCGAAATCCAAGAAGCGACTGTGCTCGCTGCCCACCTCAAATCCTGTGGAAGTCCCAAGGAGGGCCAGCAAGCGCAAGCACATGAAGACTGTTTTCTCACGCAAAGAGCCACGCTTGACACCATCCCGCCTGAATCACAGCGAGGATTCGAGTGCTTTGACGACAGACTTGTCGTCAAAGCTTGCCCTACGCACAGATTCTGCAGCCAAGACAACAAACATTAAGGGCACGATTTCATCAAAGCAGCCGAGCGATGACTACCCAACAGAACAACCACGAGCCAATCGGGTGGCGGCGTGGGAGCAAGGGAGGAATAGGCGTACAAACCTTGATAATGCGGGCATTGTCAGGGACATGGAAATTTCGGACTCGGAAAGACGGCCTATGTCATGGCCACACAGAAATCCCTGGCGTAAGTCCCTTGATATATCCGTCGCCGTGCTTACCAAAGGATTTGAGAAATTGATGACCGAACGAGGAGAATCCCTCATTTAAGTTGGGCGGTGGTCTACCAGCCCGCCCTCCTTCTTTCCGAGTCAATCTTATTCTAAAGTCCTTTAACGTTGGGCAGCATTGCGAACCACCATTTTCTAATGTATTCAAGTTTTTGCAACGAGTTCTACGTTTAGCGAGACCTCAGGAAGGACTATTGTAATTCGGGTACTCGATATCAGGCAATCATTTCTACTTCATTAGACAGTCCGTTTGTTTTGTCCCTCATTATTGACTTCCGGGTTACTGTTTGCAATTAGATGAATCGGTTGCTCTTCCGCGAGGGTGACATGGTAACGATCTGGACGAGGCGTTTTAGCCATGGTGGTCAGAACTGTTACCTATGTTGAAGGATCTTTGCGGTTGGCAGCCACGGCAGCTTAGTTTTACACACTCGCATGTGCTTCAGTACTTTTGTAAAGCTGTCCCGCATGTGGATCAGAAGCCCAATAATTGATACTTAGAAGACCAAAGTCGAAAGACTGAGTAGATGACAATATCTTGATGAAATCATGAACCCCATCCTCCACGTTATTGTCGCCACTAGAATCCCTGTGGTACGATCTACCGAAAACGCTCCTCAGTGGAAACCGTGCATAGGACTAGTGTGGTTTGAGCAGCTTTCAAAATCGCCAATCTCGTTTGATGCTCACAAGTGGACACATGTTCTTTCTCGCTGATCACAATAGGCTCACCCCCTTCGAATGGTTCTCCGTGATACAGACACTTCTTCCTGGCTAGACGACTAGAATAGCGTTCAGGTTCTCTTCCTCGGCTTTGATGATCGTGCCATTGGCCACAGAGGTAAAGTTGTCAACTTCTTTCACCCACTCGCGACTTCTTCAACCAATCGGCGACATCCGTATTCAGCATCTGGCGTTGTCCTGTCTAGTTCCAAAGTCGCCAGGACGTCTCAAGCGTTTACGGCTGTTTCCTAGAAGTGTCGGACTTCGACCTATGTATTTCTTTGTATCGCGCAACGCGTGCTTCGATTTAGAATTAGCCTTAACACCACCATAACTCAGATTCTCCTAGTGATGCATTTGCATGAGAAGTAAGCTCAAATTACTAAGAAAAGCATGGTGATGAGGAGTATAAGCGAGCGAGAGTGGGAAAAGCAATCCCCAGAACCCCTGCGTCTCCAAACCTTCCAGCGTTGCAAGTGGAAGATGAATAGACTCACTTCCTCAAACCAGCGGCGGTGATATATGATTGGAATAGTGTGCAAAGGGAGTAAGTAAATGGGACGGAAACTCGGGATTCAGTGATTCGATGATCTCAACTTCTGCTGAAGGCACCAGGGTAGCGGAATGCTTGAGCTGAACGTGCGAGGTTTTCTTAGCTGCGTTCAGGAAGGAACAAGGAGTGCTCTTCTCTAACTTGAATTTTTATACATACTGACGACTCAAAGCGAAAAAGCGGGCTTGAACCGGGCATGTATCGGCGGAGTAGTGGAGCTTTTATAGGTGAAAAGTACAAGGTGTCCACTGATGTTTATCGATAGAGTACAAAAGAGCAAAACACGGGAAATAGTCTTAGATACTCAAGCAAGTTGAGTGGAGAGGGTAACAGATGTCAAGTGCGTAGAGAAAAGAGTCGCTTTCGAAGAGTGAAATTTGTATTTATTCGGGAAATCAGCGGGAGGGAGTTGCAATTTCGTCTGAGTCATTGATCAGGCCCCGATTGATCCCTGGTGGCAGCAGCAAGCTGTGCTTTCTCCTCCCTGAGCTCCTGCTGCGCTTTCAGAGCCTTCTTCACCTGCCACACGGCACGCTCAACCTCAACCGCCAGCGGGACGTCAAGATACTCAGCAATGAGCTGGCCGCTGGATTCTGACAGCAGCATTCTCTCATCTTTTTCATCAGGGACCGGCTTGACACTGGATCCAGAGCGAATGCTGTCCATTTCCTTATCGAGCTCCTCGATGGACATGTCCATTGCGGCCTCCATATATGCCGTTTGTAGAAGCTCGGAAGGAGACAATTTGACCATCCTGTTATCGAGTAGGAACTGTAAATGCTTTGAACCACCCCGCGCTTCTTCAATTCAGCCACCACAACCAGACTCGTTGAATTGCTTGTACTGACCTCGCCAATGGGACCAAGCACGAAAGCAAAGGTAGAAGAATGGCAGGTTTGGCACTCTGTATTATGCATGTCGTTAAATATGTGCATCTATTTGAGATGGGGGTTGAAACAGAAGACCACTCACACTGGAAGCAACGCTACAGGCGCTGAAATTGGCATCCCAATTATACTACCCCAAAGCCACTTGGTGTGGAACCTCTGTCTATCCTTACTCCCAAGCCTTTGTAAAGCATCATGGACCTCCCGAGAGTCAATGAAAGCGCCTGGATATTCTACTCGGACTTCCTCTTTGCCCTCGACCTCATCCCGTTTCCGTCTCTCGCTCAACGGCGGTATGCTCTTCAGTCCCCATTCCGCATATGGCAGGCGCTGAAACAATTTGTTGCCGTAGGATGTGACCTTCTTCTGCCAGCCGGACTCTTTCTTCTCCCACTTGAGCCAGATGTTGGCGCCTTTCGTAGCCGCTTTATCCAAAAGCGTGGCCTTTTCAGATAGCTTGAGGTTCGGTCGTTGACAGTAGACGAGGCTTTGTCTTGTAGAGATTGGGAGAAGGAATAGGCGCATTGCAAGCTAGGACTAAAGCCCTCATGGACTGCGCTGCAATTGATGACTTTTGGCGTCTTAGAGACGCGCCTGGCAGGTTTTCGCTAAACCTTCCTATCCCTATTTTCTTAATCATTGGGAAACTAGAATCGCGATTTTGGCACCCCCCCTCAAAAAACAGAAAAAGTGCTTTTCTTAAATAGCCTCACAACGATAACTTATAATATTCTAAAAAATCTCTAGATTTTAATAATTATATAAGAGATTAAGAGTATCAAATTATAAAAAATTTTTTTTTTTTTTTTTTTTTTAAAAAAAAAATTTAATAAATTTTTTATTTTTTTTAAAAAAATTTAGAAAAAAAAAAAAAAAAAAAAAATATTTTTTAAAAAAAAAAAAAAATTTTTTTTTTTTATTTTTAAAATAAAAAAAAAAAAAAAAAAAAAAAAAAAAAAAAAAAAAAAAAATTATTTAAAAAAAAAAATAAATAAATTAAAAAATATTAAAAAAAAAAAAAAAAAATAGAAAAAAAAAAAAAAAAAAAATATATTTTTTTTTTTTTTATAATAAAAAAAAAAAAAAAAAAAATTTTTTAAAAAAAAAAAAAAAAAAAAAAAAAAAAAAAAAAAAAAACCAAAAAAAAAAAAAAAAAAAAAAAAAAACAATTGATTGCTTCTTGTCTGATATCTTTTTTTTCTTGTACTCTAGCTTTTCCAATGAATTGTTCTGTCTCTTATGATGCACAGATAACATTCGGAGACTCCAGCCAATGGCTCTAAGTTCAAGAGTCTTTGCTCACGTTTGGAGCCCCCTCCCGTAAGCACGCTGCTGGAATACGCAGCTTGTTCACCCTATCTCTGTGATATCAATGGTTTTTGGAGAAAGCTCCTTTCGATCGCGGGCAGCGAGCCTGCTCCGCCCTTCCACTCCTTCCAAAACTCAATCGCTTGGCCAAGGCGCAAATCAGGAGAAGGGATCTGGCATCGCCTCGAACACGCCTACAGAGTCACCTCTGAACGAAAAGCCCAAAGCCGAAGAGGGACAAAATGGTCTGGAGAAATCGCAAACTCTTTCTTCGAATGGAAAGACGTTTTTTTCTTCTGGCGATAATGCGGTGGTTAACGACGAGGCCGCTCAGAGGATTGTCAGGACGATACCGAGTGAGTCTTCCAATGGGCTTTCTCTGCCCACGTCAAACAGTCTGTTCCGATGCGTCAATGCTACATTTACTAACCAATTTCCCAATGCAGGTTGGGTACATACCCTCGATGAGGAGGACGAAGATTTACTCGCGACAGCACCCTCGTTACCTCACACTCCTGCCGGTGCTTTAATAGCCCAAGAGACTAGCACCACGATCGCTGCCCATAATCAACAGCCAGGCCCATCTCGAGGCCGTTTGTACGATCATGAGCGGAAGTGGACTCCTCCTCTTGCTAGGGATGCAGTACGAGAATCGGGGTCACGGTGGAGGGCATTCGCTAGTTCTTCTGCATACCCGACTATTTCTGCAGAAGGTGGAGAGATCGTTACGGAAGAATGGCTGCAGCAGAATGGTCCTGACTATTCAAGACCCTGGCTCGCTGGTGCTTCGGATGGGGATCCTGAAAAGGATCCGGCAGGCTTATACAGATTCAGGGCAAAGAGAAGAGCGTGGTACGTCAGAGCTCAGCGGACGGTTCTGCGAAATCCTATTGTACCAATGATCATCCGCATGAACGTATGGCTCTTCTCAGCAGTCGCTCTGGCTCTCGCATGTTCAATTCACCACATTACGGATAAGAACCCAAGAGACATCTCTGCTACACCCTCTACGAATATGGCAATTGTCGTGGACGCGGTTGCCCTGGTTTACCTTCTCTACATCACATATGATGAATACTCTGGAAAACCTCTCGGCTTACGGCCCGCGAAAGCCAAGATGCGGCTCATCTTCCTGGATCTTTTCTTCATTGTGTTTGATTCTGCAAATTTGAGCCTGGCTTTCGAGGCTATTAAAGGGAACTGCGAGTCTCAAGTCTGCTCTCGGCAGAAGGCCTTGGCTTCGGTCCTGTTGATTGCATTAATTGCGTGGCTTCTAACCTTTTCCATAAGTGTCATGAGGTAAGCACTATTAAATATGTCCACCCGCTAACAGGTTCGCTGACGATGACTTAGGCTTGTAGAGCGGGTTACTACGAGATGAGAGACGTCCTGGAAGAATTCGTGGCTTTTCTGAGTGCTTTCTCGTACATCGCTTTGGAGTGTTGTTTTATGCATAGCGGATATCGCATCGTCCATGGTGTTTACGAAAGTCTCTGGAGAGTACAGGAAGCGTGACGGGTTTGGATACCTTCATGATACTTTTTGAGTGTTTTCAGGTTGCTTATGACGTAGTTCATGGCTCTAGAGAACGTCCGCCTCGAAAGCGCGTTCTGACCTCTTGCACCCTCTCTGGTTCGACACCTTCATGCGTTTGTCATTTGCAGTTCTAAAACCCATGTCAACAATGGCTACATCTAAAGCGCCTCTCACCTCTCTGAGAGACCTTCGCGTGTCCTCCCACCAGATACCCGCCTTCGAACTCATACCTAATACTTCCATTCAGAAGAAGCCTCTCCTCATCTACCACTCTGCTTTCCATTCCAGTGCTTCTGCCTCTGCAATCGAAAGTCATCTCTCAGCCGTTGGGGTCGTTAGCCCCGGTACGTATATTTCGGAGCCGAGCCTTCCCATTTGGTATTGAAATTGAGTTACAAGAGATGTTTTGGGTGCAAGATGACCTTTCTACTCTCCATATCTCCATTTTCTACCTCGAATAAGCAATGCTGACTCCGAAACCTGTGTAGAGTGGCGGTACACCATGTACAGTCAATCTCATTTCCACTCCACCACTCATGAGGTGCTTTGCGTTGCATCGGGCAAGGCTAGATTGTGCTTTGGAGGAGAAGAGAATCCTAAGAGGGTGGAACCAGTGCTAGAGAAGGGAGATGTCATGGTTGTGCCGGCAGGCCTGTCACATCGTTTGCTAGAGGATATCAACGGAGGCTTCAATATGGTTGGGAGCTACCCGATGGGCAAGAGCTGGGACATGTGCTATGGAAGGGAAGGGGAAGAAGAGAAAGTGAAGGGGATAGGGAGCTTAGGATGGTTCGAGAGGGATCCTATATACGGTGATGAAGGACCTTCTCTTCACGTGTGAGGGGTCAGGTCGTGTTTCGCTGGCGATCAGCGATTCTGCTGGTGACTGTTATTGTTAGTGAATAAGGATATGGGAAGAAGCATTGGATTCGGTCATTATGGTCCTAGCAAACCTATGAGGAAGATGCGGGTGGATGTACTCTGAAGAGCCAGAAATGGTAGTCAAGAATCGTGGATGCTGTAAGCTGTCAACATTTTCCTTTCCTTTGTAGCTTGATCATAAGTAACAAAGAGCAAAGCGTAACAGTGTTATTGGAGGTAGGTCTGAAACCCGAACAACAATTTCAGTTTTGACAGCGCCAAGCACCTGTAAATTGCCGCCTGAGATGCGCTTGCCTCTCTCGCGTCATAAGGCCGAAGACTTTGGCCTCTTAGCACGGTATGACTGCACTTCTTACATCACAAGCTGATTTTATTCAGTTACGGCTGAAGCTATACATAGAAGCCTGGCCGGTATGAGAAAGTGTTGTGAGCCCTCTGGATCTTTAACAAAGAGCCCTCCAGCACGTCTTCTGTTCGCGTGTTCGCAACAATCACATCACTCACCACCAACCTGAACACATTCGGTTGCCACATCACTCTGGTGACTCCTGTTGGCCACTTATTTCAAGCAGCACAGGTTCTTTCAAGTTCAAATATCCACGCCCCTCCGGATATACACCTACCTTGACACATTCGACTTCGACATCACTCTTGTTGCCCAACTATTTTGACCACCACACGTCCCTCCGAGTTTAACCATCCACCCTCGCTCCTCCTGCTACACCTTGCGTCCGCATCACCTTCCTTCTTCTATCACACCTCTTACGCAGCATCCCCTGCCTCGAACAACCTTCGTAGGTTCTGCCAAGATGCCGATCACCATGCCTCCAGCTCCCAATAAGGACGACCTAGCGGCAACATGGAACTTCTTGCAGGTCGGAGTGGAGAAGATCATGACGAATCTGAAAGATGGTGTGGACATGGCAACAGTAAGTGGCTACCAACGTTTTACTGAAAGGCTTCGCTAATCTAAGGCTGTAGTACATGGGCATCTACACGTAGGTCGTATCAGAGCTGTCTGCGTTCGCTCCTTACTGACAGGGATCTAGGGCTGTTCACAATTTTTGTACATCACAGAAAGCAGTAGCGTCAGGGGGAGGGATCATCGGGGGTAACGCCCACCGTGGAGGTGAGTAATCTTTCGGTCTGCTGGTGGTTGATCGCAACATTCATTGACCTATCATTACAGCTCACCTACTTGGAGAGGACCTCTACAAGAATCTCAAGGACTATTTGAAAGGTCATCTTGAGGACCTGCACGAGAAGTCTAAAGGTCACATCGACGAAGCGTTACTGACTTACTACATTCGGGAATGGGACCGATACACAACGGCCGCAAAATACACGAACCATCTCTTCCGCTATCTGAATCGACATTGGGTTAAGAGAGAGATCGATGAGGGGAAGAAGGATGTTTTCGACGTGTACACATTGCACCTCGTGCAATGGCGGGAGGTCCTATTCGAAAAGGTTAATAAGAACGTCATGGCTGCGGTGTTAAAGATGGTAGAGAAGCAGCGAAATGGCGAGACCATTGAGCAGAGCCAGATCAAGAGCATTGTGGATTCGTTTGTCTCTCTGGGCTTGGATGAAACGGATAGCACGAAGTCGACCCTTGATGTCTACCGATTCCACTTCGAGAAACCCTTCATAGATGCTACAACAAAGTACTACGAGAATGAGTCGAACCAATTCGTCGCTGAGAATTCGGTCATTGATTACATGAAGAAGGCCGAGACTCGCTTGGAAGAGGAGAAGAATCGAGTTGGATTGTACCTTCATCAGGACATCATGAACCCGCTCATGAAAGCTTGTCTGGGCGTCCTGGTCACTGGTCATTCGCCTCTGCTGAGAGACGAGTTTCAAGTGCTTCTCGACACTGATAGGCAAGACGACCTGGCGAGGATGTATCGATTACTGGCACGCATCATCGATGGCTTAGAACCACTACGGACAAAATTTGAAGCTCATGTGAGGAAGTCAGGCCTTGCTGCAGTCGAGAAAGTTGCTACGGAAGGGGACAACATGGAGCCAAAGACCTACGTCGATGCACTATTGGAGGTGCATACACAATACCAGAAGCTTGTTGATGATGCATTTACTGGCGAATCTGAGTTTGTTCGATCGCTCGATAACGCATGCAAAGAGTTTGTGAACCGTAATAAGGTCTGCAAAACTGGGTCATCGCGTTCGCCAGAGCTGTTGGCCAAGTACACGGATGCGTTGTTGAAGAAGAGCGCCAAGAGTGCCGAAGAAGCTGATCTTGAGGCATCTCTCATCCAGATCATGACCGTCTTCAAGTACATCGAGGACAAAGATGTATTTCAGAAATTCTACTCCCGAATGCTAGCGAAGCGATTGGTTCATTCAAGCTCCGCATCAGAAGATGCGGAGACGAGCATGATCGGCAAGCTGAAAGAAGCCTGTGGTTACGAGTACACCAACAAGCTCCAACGCATGTTCCAGGATATCCAGATCTCAACCGACCTCAATAGCGCTTTCAAGGAGTATCAATCGAGATTACTGGACGACGATGGATTGAAGAAAGCTGTCGACCCGTCTTATCAGGTTCTTGGCACAGGGTTTTGGCCCCTTTCACCTCCCCAGACCAATTTCATTCCTCCACAAGAGATCGTTGACACCTACACTCGATTTCAGAATTTCTACTTTGACAAGCATAGCGGGCGAAAGCTCACCTGGCTATGGCAACTCTGCAAGGGTGAGATGAAGGCCAACTACGTCAAGAACACTAAGATTCCGTTCACTTTCTGCGTGTCTACATACCAGATGGCTATCTTACTGCTTTTCAACGACTCCGATACGGTAACGTATGAAGACGCCCAGAAAGGTACGGCGTTGTCAGCAGAGTGGCTGGATCCTTCCCTCAGTGTTTTCGTTAAGGCAAAAGTCTTGATTCCTTCTCCTGAGAATGCAAAGGCGGAGCCCGGCACGTCATACACCTTGAATTACAACTTTAAGCACAAGAAAGTCAAGGTCAACCTCAATATCGTCGTCAAATCGGACGCGAAGCAGGAAGTTGAGGAGACACACAAGACTATTGAGGAGGATAGGAAATTACTTATGCAGGTATGTACTACCACCCTGTCCTCCATCTTGCTCTCTGTCTCTAACGTTAAGCTAGTCTGCGATTGTGCGTATCATGAAGTCCCGTAAGCACATGAAGCATGTCGTGCTCGTCCAAGAGACCATATCCCAAATCAAATCCCGCTTCACGCCCAAGGTCCAAGACATCAAAAAGTCGATCGATCAGCTCATTGAAAAGGAGTACTTGGAGCGGTTGGAAAACGAAGAACTCGGCTACCTAGCTTGATCGTGGTAAGAGGTGACGAAAATGAGTATCCGGCGCTTGGTCGTTCCAATGCATGGCGGTAAGATTGATGCATAATTGGCTGCGGCGAAAAAGAGAAAAGATGTGGGGATGTGCATCATCGAAGACTTGTTACATGCGAGAAAGGGATACCAGGCGCAGTACAGGAGGGCTACCTCGGTCAGAAATGCATGGCTATTGCACCGGGTACATCTACCACTTGGTATTAGCAGCTGGTGTAGTCCCGATCTCACGATATCATGCCGCATCGGATAGATAAATACCTCTTCAGAATTGCTTTCTTTTCACCATTTCTACTATCCAGACCATGTAAAACCCACTCGTCAGAGCTCCGTTGCCAGACAAGCATGCTAAGTTTGCACCGTCTATCCTACGGGAGCTGTCTTCGGATCAAATCCTCTCTATTTCAATACTCCCCTCTATCGTCTATTCAAACTTGCAGTGCACTTGCTTGCACCTTTGGATCCCAAATCGTCACGCTCAATCCTATTAATCACTACGAAGAAATGGTATTCATAACGCATCAGGCATCCAACCTCCCAATCCCATCACCACCCTTCTCCTCCCGAATCCTCTTCCCTCCAATCCCGCTGTTCCATTTGGCCAGCTTCGTTGGACTCGTCACTCCAGCAGCTACATTCTCACTACTCGCATTCGGACTCCCCTTCGCCCATCCTTTCCTCCTTTCACTCGCCCACGCACCCCAGGAGGAGATGTACGCGCCTGCTTTCTGCCCTGCCGCCTGCACGGAGGCTTGCGCGGCTGTGAGATCGGGAGCGCGAGCTGCGAAGCGCTGTGCTGAAGGAGCATTCTCCGAGGATGGCTCGCCAGTGTTGGAGCTGGCTCTGATGCTTCCGAAGCTAGCGATTTCGGCACGTTTGCGCTGGGCTTCTCGCATTGCTTCGATGTCCGCCCAGAGGTTTGAGAAGGCCGTGGAGACCTTTTTGTGGCCGGTTGCTAAGTGCTTGTTCAGTGCTTCCTTGCTCGTTGCTAATCTGTCATCGAGATGCAATGTCTGGATTTGCAGCGCGAGACGGCGTTGTATGTCCTCGAAGCTGAGATTTCCTGCTGTGGGATGGCGAGGCTCGACGATGTCGAAGAGGTCGGAGTCGGTGTGAGAGTCAAAGAGTGCAAAGTTGGAGGTCTGGCACCAGTTGTGGATGAAGTCTGGGTTGAAGTCGACCGTTGGGTCACCTTCGATTGTGGGAAGGGGCGGTGAATGCGAGAGATAGAGGTGGTACTTTACGGAAGAGAGAAAGGCCAGGAGATACTCTTCGAACTGGAGGCGGATGAATTCTTCGGAGCCCATGTAGCCCATTGTTTTGGGTCGGGAGGGGTTGTTTTCGTCCCAGGTCTCGTGGACGGTGGTGCTCAGAAAGTCTATCCAACGCCTATCTGCCGCAGATAGAACTAGGGCAGTCCTGAGGGAGGATGAAGTGATATTGATGGTCGTTTCGTCAAGCTTTGCATGCACTTAGCTTGAGGTAGCTAATATGCTAGAGTGGGTGCTCCTTACATTGACGAGTATGTCACTGTAGCGATCTTTCTGCTGCAAGAGAAGAGAGTTGGTGGATCCTACGATGTATGACTTCGTGCCGTAATCGGCCAAGACGTCCAGCTGCTGCAATGGTGTATATGGTCCGAAGAGAGCACCTTCGCGAGGTCAGGAAAACCTCACATTCGCAAGGGAAACGGGACTTACCTTTGCCGAAGCTATTGATAGCGGCAAACGGTAATTAGCTTCAAGTCTCAAGAATCGGTTATGCAGAAACATGGAGCATTACCTACAGCTGCAGCGGGAGGCCCATATAAGACAGCACTACCATTCTGTAAGTCCGGATTGCTTGATCTTTCAGAGTAAAGACCTACAAGAATTCCGGTCACTTGTTTTCAAAGACGTTGGCATGACCAAGTTCTTTTCGTAGCTGTCGAACTCTGGATCTGCAGCATCTTGCAATCTCCGCAAAAGACCGGGTATCAAAGAAACCAAAGCAAATTGCAACATGCATAGTCGCTCACAGCGGGAACCGAAGAAAAGCATCTACCGATTTCAGTAGACATTCGAACATCTCTCTTCATGGCCTGGTCACCTTCGGTTGCAGCAAGCAGCATTTGAAGAGCACCAGTGTTTGGTGCTTGTATTCGTGTATGAGCTCCCTCAATGATAGACCTAGGTCTGTAAGCTAGAAGCCCCAATCGTTGGGACGGCGCCTTGCCCACCAAGATATTGATCATCCTCCGTATCCTGCAAATTCTTCGCCAGGCTCTCTTGAAATCTCTGGCCTACCTTCAGCCCGAGTCCCACCAGAATGATGTATTCCACTCACCGACCTTCAGGATGTCCACATCTGTAAAGTCCCTAGGCCCCCAATCAGCCATATGCCGTCTTGCTCAGAGTTTTTATTGCTTGTGCTTACTTCTGTGCGAACCACGCACCCGTGACCATAGAAAGCTTCTCTCTCAACTGCCCAAAGAGTTGTGGACTATCCGCAACAACCACAATCGCCTTTTGCACTGTACTCCTCGTGACATCGGGGGGTTTGTTCAGAAGTTCATTGGCGTCCATTTGCCGGGTGCACGATATGCCAAAAACGGAGGTGGGAGGGCTGGTACCCGTAGCTCTTCGACGGAGGGTGAAGTAGGAGAAATCTTGGGTGGATCTAGTTCATGCTCAGCATTTGTTCGGGAGCCATTTGGGTGCGCGCCGTACGCGTGGGCGCCGTCCGAGAGGGCCATGAAGGGGAGGAATGACCAGTCATTCTCCGCTGCGGGGTCTGCGCCATCTCCAACGCCGAACCAGCTCTCGATCTCAGGTCCTCTAGCAGCTGTCAGTCTTTGGTGTGACTCTCTCCACGGCTAGGGCTTGCCTCGCGTGGTGGAACCCTACGATGCAAACGATGGGCGCAAAGCTGATGATGGGCGCCATTGTATAGCATTGGGAGTCTACACGTTGCCCGGAGGCAGACTCGTCGCCACTGCTTCTCTAGAATAGTTGCTGTGATGACCGGCGAGAGTTGTGGTCAAGTTAGGTGTTCGAGCGCCAAGGCTCAGCCTTAGCATGTACATTGTTGTAGGTAGTACCTAGGTAGTACGGAATCTACTATCTGGCTTGATTGGATCAATTCTGTCATGTGATTTGTTTCCTCATCATTCGCTGGAGAATGGTATATAAGTTTAGAACCCTGGTATGCAGGAAGGGAGAAGGATCCATAGTGTGTTCTTTGCTTGGTTCAGGGTCACGACCACAGTCATCAGTCTAACATCAGACAGCCGAGTGCACGTAGAGCCCAAACTCCTCAATCCAGGGCAACAGCAAAGGAGACATGGTAACCGTGCTAGAATCACACATCGCTACTGGTATCCATTTTGGTCCTCCTGCCCGTCAGGCTGCTCGATTTGGTGAAAATCAAGGATTTCTTGGTACCTGTCGAACCAACGTTAGCTACACCCTTCCAGTACCGGACACGGGGGTCTTGCGAACATCATAACCTTCCATTGGTCAACTGGCAGATCAGCATCATTGAATGACCAATCGAATTTCTCTTCCGCTACCGGCTCATCGCTTGGATCATGGTAAGGAGCGAGGTACTCATGTGCTAGAGCGTCCCCAGCCCGTACTCGTAGTCGAGGATCGAAGACCAGCATCTTCTCGAGTAGATCGATGGCTATCCCTGGTCAGCAAATGTAGTTTCGATAGATCGGATACCTTACCCAGTGGGTCTGCGTTCTTAAACTTGTTCGACAAGGGTTGTCGTTCCCGCTTTGGTAGTGACTGCACAAAGCGGAGGGTCTGTGTCCAACTGTCAGCAATGTAGGGCGCTTTCCGTAAAGAGCTGTTCATACATTTTCGCTGCCAATGGTCTGAATGACATCGTCTGGTGGTGTACCCAAAAGCTCCGTAATAATGGAGAACTGATTGACGTGATCTTTGCCAGGGAACAGGGGCTTTCCTTCAAGCATCTCCGCGAATATGCATCCTGCGCTCCATATATCCACCTCCACGTCGTATTTTTGCCATGTGAGCATGATCTCTGGGGCACGATAGTATCTTGTCGACACATAGCCCGTCATTTGCGGGTCTTGAATACGGGCGAGACCAAAGTCACAGATCTTCAAGTCACAATTCTCGTTCACAAGGATGTTGCTGGGCTTCAGATCGCGGTGGACAACTCCTGCAGAGTGCACGTATTTCAATCCTCGCTAAATGCTGTCAGCCTCTTGAGCAATAGGCCCTGCCAACCCTCGAGCGGACGTACCAAGATCTGGTACAAGAAGTATTGGATGAATTGTTTCTCGAGAGGTCTTGAGGTCAACAGGCGATGTAGGTCGGTCCCTAGGAGCTCGGTGACAAAGTAGCTATTAATATGATAAGCTTCATAGGATAAAGATGGCGCTTTTCCACGAAGCGACTCACATGTCCTCGAGTGGTGATATGAAGATATCGCTTAAGCTGATGACCTGGAAAGAGTCAATCTTGGACAGCCATTGTAAATCTACCCTTCTCTCACGTTTTCATGACGCAGGTGCTTTAAGAGCTTCAATTCTCGGTATGTGCGCTTAGACAGGACAGGAGTGCTGAAAGGTTTCATTATTTTCTTGACAGCCACAGCCTGACTAGTGAGTTGATCCTTTGCGGAGCTATGGGAGACCAGGCATTAGAGATAGAAGCGTCGCACTTGACCAGAATGCAGAATACCAGACAAGCCCAAATGCTCCCATTCCCACCGGTTGTAGGTCCGTGTACCTGTTCCGGCGTCAACATTACACGATCCCAGCGAGTTGTGCGGAAGCGGGGCTGCGATACCTGCTGGTAATCTCGAAGGTCGTGCCGAAGATTTGGGCACGTACAAACTCCGCCATGATGATTTGATGGGGGCGAAGTCGCTCGAGAGGGAGAGGTCAAGGGTAGAGGAGGGGGGATGTGGTGCACAGGCAAAACAACAACTTGATTGTTGTAGCCGCGGTCGATCGCCCGGTCTGCCTACTTTAGCGTACCGAGCTTAGGGCGTGATCGAAAAGACCGGAATTACTGTACCGTACCGTACCCTCGTACCTTACTTTACTCTTCTAGTCTCTAGTCTCTACGCTCCTTTCTCCTGTTGATCTCCCGATGTCATTCAAAAATAAATTACATTCACGATAAACAGATGAACAGATGCTAAAATTACAGTAATAATCTCCATGATCATGCAGTGCTGATATAAGGTACAGTAGGCACACATGAAACTTATGCTGTTTCAAAACATCCATCATTGGGAGCGACATGCAGTCTTGCATCGGAAGTCACCACGTCATACCGCTCTTAGCGCAATGAACAGAGATCTATTCACTTTCACATTTGTCGAATACATCTACAGTTGCCACCCTACTACTTAGCACTAAATGCAGAGCTAATCACACCACTGCCACTGCACTGCTTCTTCTTGAAGGCCTTGCATGCTCGGATTTGCCATTCACGACACTCTGTCAAAATTGAACCTTGTGCTGGACATCGGTGGCATAAACTGGCTACTAGCACTTCATATTTGGTGCTCAATACGCAGACCATTCCTCGATTCTTTCGTCTGTTCACAGTCTTTTGGCATACCTCTATGGTCACAAGCTCATCGATTCGTTGTTACTCTTTCTACCGAAGCTATTCTTTTTGCACCTCGATGACGGTTTTCCCTCTGGCCCTCGGGCTTCCTTGCCTCTCGTATGCCTTCATAATATATTCCATTGTCAACAGCGAGTCTACTATCCCCTTGATTGGTCTTTTTCCAATCAAGTCCCTCAGTCTCTCCAACATCTCCACCTTGAGCACCGTCTCTCAAGTTGGGGAGGGTAGGCCTGTAAGTTTTCAAACAGCAATCAAATACCTTTCCTGGCTATCAATCACAGGTGAGGTGCCAGAAAAATTCGCAGTCGAGATGACATAAGTTCCTAAATGGTTGACCAGAGCAGTATCAGCCATGAGGTTTTCTGTTATTTAATGCTCTTCCCAAAAATTGCAATCATGAATAGCATATGTTTCCGGGTTGATGCCACAGATCGAGGCCAAGAAAAGAATCGAAGCGCAAAAGAAAGCGGAGCGAAGAAGTCCCGAGGCCAAGGGCATGGAACAGCACAGCGGTAAAAATTCATTCTAATTACGATCCATGTAGATTCCATATTACCCTCCGGAATGTGCAGTATCCCCCGTGGACAGTCAATGTCTGTCTAGACGAGAAGCGAGGAGCGGCATCGATGTTGAATCGGAAGGCAATATCGTGTGGAGAGAGTAGGCGAACTGTAGTCAACGTCAAACTGCAGCGGTTCCTGATGCAGTAGGCGTTCATGCGTGTTGCTGTCAGAGAAATGCACGTCGCAACCACAGATCACAATATGGAAAGAACAGTGCCGCCGATTGCACAGCTTATACCCGCCAATCAGAGGAGATGTAGAAAGTAGAAAAATGCCCATTGACTCGCCGTGGCTATTCCATGTTGTTCGACTTCTTTATTTATCAGACTCTTTCAAGCCAGAAGATCGGCCTTGATCGGATGATCGCATATCTGATATAGGATACAGTAGATAACGTTCAAATATAGGCTGTTGTGCAGCTGCAGCTTGCCTTGTAATCTCTCTCTCTCCCTCTCTCTTCCCCCCGCCCATGCTGTAGCCCGTGCGCTGGACAATGCATTTCCCACGCCACGAGGTGCCCGCAGAAGTCGAACGCTAAGCAAGATTCGGTCGAGGCGCCAAGACCTGACTCCACAATCCTACCTACTTACCTTATTCATCACCCTTCATCCCTACGGCGGCTGATATTGTTCATGAGTGTACCTCCGTACATTCGTCGCAATTGATGATACTCAAGCTCCCCAACGTTTCATTGATGACAGGACCTCAAGAGCTCACGCACCCTCAACCTGATCTCGGCGTCAGCCACCAACCAGCTTCCGGGTATTGTCGATCTACGCCATCAAATAGAGCTTGCCTTTGCTTTAACTTCCAACTTCATCCTCTTGGTTCGCTACCACTCTGCCGCCACACCTTTTCTCCGAATGCTGCAGCGCATTCACGATAGGGCGAGCCAGACACCCGTCAAAGCTGCATGCTCATACTGATTTCCCACTACCCACTAGCTACTACGGCCCAACGACCGAGCTGCTCTCAGCTGGAGCGAGGCTGGAGCAAGGCCAGCATAATCAATTCTCTCGTCATCTTCCCTGAAGCAAATTCCGAAGTCGTCCTACCAATATCGATTGACCCAAGCGTTGTCGTCTTCTACGTGATCGCCCTTGGTAGGCGTTGGAGGGTCTGCACTGTGTCCGGTTTCTACGAAGCTAGCATCTGGAGTCAGATACACTGATTCGACTGCTTGACGCAATTGAATATTGCGCAATCAATTGCGGTCTATTGATTGGTGTCCGCAACATTCTCCTTCAATCCACCGCAGGAACGGTACCCCTCATTCAACCAATCACGGCCATCAATCCGGATATACTCGCTTTGACTAGACTTGGGGAAGCACTTGCTGCATCATGGGGGCATGTCAGAGCATGCAAAATGGCGATGAAGAGGAAAAGAGAAAGCGAAGCCGGGCAATAGACGCCAAGCTAGAGGAGGACTCAAGACGATTACGGAAAGAATGCAAGATATTACTGCTTGGTACGCTTGGTTCATTTCGTCCTCCTGACAGATTGGCTTACGATTGCCCGCAGGTTCCGGAGAAAGCGGTAAATCCACAATAGTAAAGCAAATGAAGATTATCCACCAGAATGGTTACACCAAAGATGAACTCGCCCTCTATCGTCTTACAATCTACAAAAACGTGCTTGACTGCGCCAAAGCTCTTATAGGGGCTATGCGGCAATTCGAGATCGAACCTAGGGATCCCCAAAACAATGACAATGCCGATTACCTACTTGAATACGTGGTGGACCCAGATCCCCATACTCCGCTCGACCCACACGTGGGTGAGTGCGTTGTGAGTATATGGAAGGATCCAAGTATCGCGGATATCATGGAGCACCAGAGCGAATTCTATTTGATGGACTCAGCGCCTTAGTACGTTCTCTATTGAAAATCTTACTGGGATGATGTACCTAGAGCTCACGCACTCGCAGTTTCTTTGATGAAGTCATCCGAATTGCCGAACCTAACTACATCCCCATCGAGGCTGATGTCCTACGAGCCCGAACGAAGACAACGGGTATATACGAGACGCGCTTCACCATGGGACAGTTGAGTATACAGTACGCATGACCACCTCTCTCTTCCCCCCTTTTTCGGCTTTTCGGAACGGGCATCTTTGGCTAATGCATTGGGAATACAGCATGTTTGATGTTGGCGGCCAACGCTCGGAACGTAAAAAGTGGATCCACTGCTTCGAAAATGTTACCTCCATCATCTTTTGCGTCGCGCTTTCCGAGTACGACCAAGTGCTCCTTGAAGAATCAAATCAAAACCGCATGATGGAATCCCTGGTGCTTTTCGACAGCGTAGTTAACAGCCGCTGGTTCATGCGCACATCCATAATCCTGTTCTTGAACAAGGTCGATTTGTTCAAGGGGAAGCTGGAAAGAAGCCCATTGGGGAGTTATTTTCCCGATTACAGCGGTGGCAACGACGTCAATCGGGCCGCGAAGTATCTGCTGTGGCGATTTAATCAGGTCAATAGGGCGCATTTGAACTTATATCCGCAGTGAGTGACGACCCGTTTTTTCCTGCTGGGCGGATGCTTGCAGGTGGGGATACATGCATGGAGTCCACTTTCGCCTTTTGCTTGCTAAGTCGGAGGCTATGAACGCAAAGCAACGGATCTTACTTGATCGGAGTTGGATTGAGATTGCTGACATTCTCCCCTCTATAGTCTTACACAAGCCACTGACACCTCAAATATCCGCCTGGTCTTCGCCGCTGTCAAAGATACAATCCTCCACAATGCATTGGCAGATTCAGGCATACTGTGAGCCATCATCCTCCCAACACGCCTAGCGACACCATCCCACAAGCACCATGCCGGTGCAAGAAAGACTATACCTATTTGCTTTCCATTTGTATATACCAGCCCACTTATGCCTGCCTCGTTAGGCTTTATTGATATTTATTCCTAAAACGATCTATCTCGAGCTTTTGGAACCAGGGCTAGTGGGATTGGATGACATGCCTATGTCAGCCAACCTGAGTCGCCAACTTGCCGGCATCAAGCCTTTTCTATGCAGGAGTGTCCTCTATGGCAGGCTTTGGGTGCAATACGGACATCCTGTTCCTCTCCAATGGCAGCTTGGGGAGTTGGGGAGTGGGGGAGTGGGCCAAAGTATGCGGTCCGAGTAAATGCTCTTAGCACCAGCAATAGACGACTTTGATGGAGTTTCAAAGGACTGGAACACCCTTCTGGATCACTCATCCACACGACGTCTGGGCAAAAGTTGGATTTGAATTGTTTGCGCTTCATTTCGCTTGTGAGAATGCGATGGAAACGCTTTGATTATCTGCCCTTTTATGCGGGCCTTGCGATCAGATTAGCGCCGGCGATAATCAGATTTGTCGCGCTAGGGAAAGAGCCACTGAGCCTGGAGCATGGCGTTTGGTCCTTCTGTGGGTGGGTGCTAGCATTGGGTTGGTGTCTGGGTTGATGCACGCATTGGATAATAAGGATCAGTCCTGCGGAGCAGCTATTATGCCACTTTGAATATGACGCACGGCGAGCACTGGCTATATCTTTAATTCTTGTAGATAGCATTTTATCTTGAAACGAGCCGTGTGCAATCGATTGTCTTCTCAGGTGGTCGGACTGACATCTGACCTTGGGATTTACAGCCACCGCAAGGTAATTTGAGTTGACTGATCTTGACTGTGGTTCAGATTCAACACCACGTTTTCGCCATCGGCCTCTCTGGCGAACTCCTTAACTTCACCGGGTTTTAGTGCATCTACGTCGATAGAATTCGCAGGCATCGGAGTTTTGCGGTCTAAGATTCGCGCAATGGCTACACTTCCCTGAACAGCACCTTCAGTCTCGAAGGTCAAGGACATATTACCAATTCTCGACCGAATCGGGGATACCGCGGTGAAGTTCCTTTGAACAGGGAGCTCCGAAGACGCGATGCTGCTCGCGGAGAGGGACAGGTTCTCTCTTTGTTGAGTGGGCATGGCAGCGTGGCAACTACCCTCTAGGTCGGGCTTCCGGACCGACGACAAGTGGCTAGAGGCCGGTAGCCTTGGAGACGGAGCATTTGAGTAAAGCGAACCGAGAGCGTTGTGAGTACTGGAATTGTCCGCTTCATATCCTGGACACGGAGATGGATCAATAGGTCTGGCTCGAGGCGTTATAGTGCTTGAGGTGACAGCGCTAGCAATGGGGGAGTTTAGTCTAGATATCAGGGTCCCTACACTTGAGGGCAGAGGAGAGGTCGGAAACCCGCTTCGCAAGGCTTGCCAGCTTTCCAGCGGATAGGCCCGTCTCCATTGATTCCTTCTCTTGGTAGCGAGGGAGGTTTGAAGTTGATCGTTGATCATTGCCAGGGCATGGCGATATTCCAGGAGCTGGCTTTGGCTGAATTCTTTTAAATCTGGTACGTTCCACTGGTGGTACAACCTACCATGCGTTTTGCTGATGAAGAAATGCTTCTGATGGAAGATGAAGAGGTCACAAAGGTAGCAAGCGGCTTTGCTTACACCCAAGACGCGAGGCTTTATCTTAACAATTTCGGGGTGTAGACCATAAAAGGTCACAAGCTGAATCTCGGCATGAACGTGGCACGGGACAGCTTTGTTCGGAAACACTACTGACGGCGTGAACGGTCGATACCGTGGAACTATCTCAAGTCGAATCGATTTGAACAAATTTGAATACCTTCTTGAAATCGAAGCCATGTCATCACATAGGCCCCAGTACCGCCCAATCTTATCAACCTGGCGAATGTGTTTGTTTTGGAGAGCTATCCCTGGGTCGAGCCCATAACTGGCGATCGTTTCTTCAATTCTCATTCCATCTGGAGTGCTACAGAACCCGTGACTTTGCTTCACCGCTGCTTTGATCGATTGGAGCTCCTCGTCCGTGTCCTTGATGCTGCTGTCAACACTCTGATATTTCAAGCACAGATCGTCAATATTGCGCTGCAAACTTGCAGCGCCAACAGCACGAGCAATTGGGACTGCACGTTGCGCAAATGCTTGAAGACTTTGATGTAGCTGCTCGAGCTGAGCGGCTCCAAGGTATCCAGGCATGATCCAGTGTTTAGACTGAAGCCGACCGTTTATACGATTCCGATTCAATGCGACAACTTCATCGAATATTAAGTCTCGGCACACTGTGCGATGCAGCTCTGAGGACAATTAAGCAGACCGCCGATGAGCGCGTTTTTGGAATGGTGCCACGCACGTCTTTTGCCACACTTCTCAAGTATACTGAATATTGCCTGCAATGCATTAACCACGCCTTCTTGTACGCCTCCGTTAGCGGCAAGCCGAGCAATCAAGCCTGGAGGCTCGACAATTTCTTCTAAGGCAACGGCAGAGACTGTCCCGGCATCTTTCTGATTAGCCACCAGGAAAGCAAAATCATTACTAAGTCGTTCCTCGACTTCGAACGGCAGAACACGGCCATCGTCATTGCTTGGAGGTCGTCGGCCATGCCAATCTTCGGGCACATGCAGCTTCGGATCCTCGGGGATGTTATTGCAGGCTTGCTGGAGGTCTATAATATGTTTGCGAAATTTATACTGATCGGTGTCTCTCCATATAGACCGCTCATCAGAAGCAGTGCTCACGGGCAATGGCGGCGAAGATGACATTCGGATGGCAATCTTGGACAGCAAAGATGGCCAGCAATGGGACATATAGATTGCGAATGGGCATCTTGGAGCAGCAAGTAGGACCACATTATGGACTTTTAGTACGGCAAGAGACGACCATGCATGAAGCCGCAAAGGGAACCCGAGGTCTATGCAGGCATGCCACAGGGCTCAGCATGCAGGGAGCCTCACGAGTGAATCATGGCTACCAGGCTCTACGGGGCATGGAAAATGGCCTTTGACCAGACCAACAATGGCCGCCATTCTCTGTGAGCCCAAAAGAAGTGATGGACAGTATGTGGAAAGATATATTGTTAGCTGGATGACTTTGAGCGCTCACTCTACTCAAAAGGCAGGCAGACTGTCAGTACAAATGGCGTATTCACTCACTTGTTGTGCATATATGAAATTCCAACTTCTTAAAGTATGGAAGGTATACCCTTCCAACTGTCGCTTTTGCTAGCATCTGGAGGCTGCTGGAAGGCTGCTGCTGCTGCTGCTGCTGCTGCCCCTTTGCCCGCCCCACGCTGGAGCCCCACGCTTATCGATTGCTTAGCGTTGGTGGGGCAATCCCTGCAGACAATCTTACCGTTCCTTTTTCACCTTTTTTGTTTTTGGCCGCAAACGATCAATTTTGGTTTAGGAACTAGACTGTAGACACCCTTGGTTCACTCAACAATTTCAATCCTTTCACTGCAAACCATTTTCATTGTCCTACCTACCTACCTACCTACCTACAACTACATCCACCACCATCTCCATTTCCTTCTTCACAGCAACCATGGCTACCCAAACCCGCGAGAGAAGGCCGTCCACATCCGCCCCCATCTCCGACCTCCAGGGTCCCGTCGGGCCTGAGGGTATCTCTCGCCCCAAGCACAAACGCACTGCCACTGGCTTCGGTGCTGCAGAGATCAAAAGTGTCGAAGCGAGCATACCTGAACCTCAAAGAGAAGCGTAAGTCTCCAGCAGCAAAAACGAATCCCGCGCTTCCAGTGCTGACCCTCGTCTCTGCAGATGGAAAAAACATGTATGTCTGGCACCAATTGAACCTCTCAACCATTACTAAACACCATCAAAGTCTGCCCAAGGCTTTACTACAAAGGAAGAGTTTGAGGTGGGTTGCATTGGCTGCCAATTATCGGTTGGAGGGACAAAGGTTGACCTTCCACAGAATGAGACTGTCAGGCACGTTGAGACCACTCTTGCCCGTTCGCTGTTCAATTGCGACGAACTGTAAGTTCCATCAACATCCTACTCACGCTTTAATACATGCTTGCTGACGGTCTATACCAGCGCTGCCTACTCCGGCGCATCTCTCGCTTTCCGGGACAGACTCGTCATTGAATGGAACAGGACCCAGCAGCGGCAGACGTTTGCAGACCAGAAACGAGTCTACTGTAATGACTGCGCTTTAGAGCAACAAAATGCTCGACTGACACGTGTGCAGATCTTTCCTTGGAGTTCTTGATGGGTAGAGCTTTGGATAATGCCATGCTTAATGTTGGCTTGAAAGACGTAGCACGAGGTACAGATGTCTCCGCCAAGTCTTGCGAAGACAGCATTAATTTGTATGTAGCTGGTCTCAAAGACCTGGGCTTCCGAATCGAGGATGTCATATCCCAAGAACATGACGCTGCTCTTGGCAACGGCGGCCTCGGCCGCCTGGCTGCATGTTTCCTTGACAGCATGGCCACTCTGAACTACCCTGCCTGGGGTTATGGTCTGCGTTACAGATATGGCATCTTTAAGCAAGAGATCGTCGACGGATATCAGGTAGAGGTGCCAGATTATTGGCTGGACTTCAACCCTTGGGAATTTCCGAGGCACGACATTACCGTGGACATCCAATTCTACGGTCATGTCTCTAGACACCAGTATGGTAGCCTGGCCAAATGCACAATAGTATACTGATGAGCATGCAGGGATGAAGACGGCAAGAATATTGCAGTCTGGGAGGGCGGCGAAATTGTCGATGCAGTTGCGTTCGACGTCCCAATTCCGGGATATTCAACTCCAACCACGAACAACCTCCGCTTGTGGTCTTCCAAAGCTTCCAAGGGCGAGTTTGACTTCCAAAAGTTCAACTCCGGCGACTACGAAGCCTCCGTAGGAGATCAGCAACGTGCAGAGACTATTTCTGCTGTACTGTACCCCAATGACAATTTGGAGCGAGGTAAGGAGCTACGTCTGAAGCAGCAATACTTCTGGTGCGCCGCTTCGCTCTACGACATCGTCCGTCGTTTTAAGAAGTCAAAGAAAGCGTGGTCGGCCTTTCCAGACATGGTGGCTATCCAACTAAACGACACTCATCCTACACTCGCTATCGTCGAGTTGCAGCGTATCTTGGTAGACTTAGAGGGTCTTGACTGGACCGAAGCCTGGGACATCGTCCAAAAAACCTTCAGCTACGCTAACCACACTGTAATGCCTGAGGCTCTAGAGAAATGGTCTGTCCCTGTGATGCAGAACCTGCTCCCGAGACATCTGCAAATCATTTACGAGGTCAATTCGCAATTCCTTCACATGGTGGAGAAACAATTCCCCAAGGATCGCGATATGCTCAGGCGTGTTTCGATCATCGAAGAATCTCAGCCACAGATGGTGCAAATGGCTTATCTCGCGACCATTGGCAGCCACAAGGTCAATGGTGTAGCTGAGCTTCATTCGGACCTGATCAAGACCACAATCTTCAAAGACTTTGTCAAGATTTATGGACCCGACAAATTCACCAACGTGACCAATGGCATTACCCCCCGAAGATGGCTCCACCAAGCCAATCCCAGGCTCTCAGAATTGATCGCGTCAAAGCTTGGCGGCTACGAATTCCTTACCGACTTAACCAAGCTGAACGAACTCGAACACTTCCTTGACGATAAGGACTTTAAAAAGGAATGGCAGGAGATCAAATATGCCAACAAAGTCCGCTTGGCGCAGCACATCATGAATACGACAGGCGTTCGCGTCAACCCCAAAGCACTCTTCGATATCCAAGTCAAGCGCATACACGAGTACAAGCGGCAACAGCTGAACATCCTCGGTGTCATTCACCGATACCTGACGATCAAGGCAATGAGCGCGGAAGAGCGTAAGAAACTTGCACCTCGTGTGTCGATCTTCGGAGGCAAGGCCGCTCCCGGCTACTGGATGGCTAAGACTGTCATCCACCTTGTCTGCAGCGTTGGCGAAGTCGTTAACAATGACAAGGACGTCGGTGACCTTTTGAAGGTCATCTACATTGAAGACTACAATGTTAGCAAGGCCGAAATTATCACCCCTGCCTCGGACATCAGCGAGCATATCTCCACTGCAGGTACGGAAGCCAGCGGGACCAGCAACATGAAGTTTGTCTTAAACGGCGGGTTGATCATCGGTACTTGTGACGGAGCCAACATTGAGATCACTCGCGAAGTCGGCGAGTCCAACATCTTTCTCTTCGGTAACCTCGCCGAAGACGTTGAAGACCTCCGCCACGCCCACACCTATGGCAACTTCAAACTTGACCCCGACCTCGCCAAAGTCTTTGATGCCATCAAGGGTGGCAGATTCGGCGATGCGAATCGCTTCAGCGCCCTGTGCAATTCCATCATCGATCAAGGCGACTACTATCTCGTTTCTGACGACTTCAACAGCTACATCAAGACGCATGCGCTTGTGGATGAGGCGTACAAGGACCAGGAAGCTTGGCTCGAAAAATGCATCACCAGCGTCAGTAGGATGGGTTTCTTCAGCAGTGACAGGTGTATCCAGGAGTATGCGGATATGATCTGGAACGTCGAGCCACTCGTCCCGGAGCAGAGGAATGGGAAATGATGTAGTGCGTGACCGAGGATGAGAAAGCTACTGCGGCACAACGATAAAAGCACGCAAACTTCTATAGAGAATAAATTTCCTATCTATTCACATTTATGTCACAGCTATGTTCTTTCTCCAGGCATTATGTCAGACCTAGCTTTTCTCCCTCTTCCATTCTGTCATCCCCTACAAACAAGTTTCGTTCATTATCATACATTATGCTACGCGTATTTGAACTCTTAGCGATGCCTAAGCTTACAATCGTAACGTGCTTGTTCACCACACCAAAAAAGAGCACACGGTCCCAGATCCTCTGCGTCCGTCCAATCCGACACCGTTGGCCCCGTATCTCTCCCCCATCGACCCTGGGAATCTATCTACCCGACAAGAGCATGCTTTCCGGGACCAGGATGCGGCCCATCCAAATGCGCGTCCAGCACAGCACCTACACCGCCTTTCACCGCCTCGATCGCCTTCGGCAGCAATTCGTCAAGCTCCTTGACAGTACTGGCCTGTCCGGCCCACAAGTTGCCGCCAGCGGCCGCCTTGGCTATGCCTGCATAGTCGGGTGACGGCGCGAATGAGATGTTGAGTTCTTCATTGGTGGCTTTTGAGCCTAGGCCGTCGGGGTGGACGAGGAGGAGCGAGCGTTTGGGGGCGTGCCAGCCTGCGAGACGTTAGTCAAGTATCTACAGGCTTGATGGTTCGAGTCCCGGGAAGGCGGTAAGAATCGACTGGAAGACTTACCTTGATTGTTGAGTACGATGGTTAGAACGGGCAGCTTGTACCGCTGACTGATCCAATACACACTCCCTGGCACACTGAAGAGGAATGTCCCGTCGCCGACGATATGGCATACAAATCTCTTACCACCCACAGCAAGCTTGATTCCAAGCGCTCCACCTCCCGACCAGCCTAGACCACCACCGCCACAGTTGATCCATGTGCCTGGGATACGGGGCTGGACTTGATCCGCAACGAAAACCGTGGATGTTACAGCTTCGATGGCGAAGACGGTGTCTTCGGGTACCGCCTTCCGGACGGCAGCTGTGAGGTAGGAGACGTTGTAATTGCCGTCGTCGCTTGGTTGAGCTAGCTCTTGGATGCTTCTCAAGCGTTTGGAGTGTATCTCTTTCAGCTTTTCCCATCGGTCCGAATAGCTCTCGGTTTTTTTCGACAGCGTCTCGTTGCTGCTAATGTACTCATTGAGTTGTTTAATGGCCGTGTAGGCATCCGTCTTGTACCTTGCCTCCGCTGGATAATAAAAGACTGGCATCTGTTGCTTCAGAGGATCTGCATCTAGGTGGAATATCCTGGTGGACTCCTTCGGCTTGCACAAAGTTGGTATGTATGGGACGTCGCAATCAACGATCAGGATGACATCTGCCGTCTTTACGCTATCATCGACTCCGTATTTCAATCCAACGCTGGCTCTATGATCCGAAGGGAAGCACATATCCGAGCCTCCCGTGTCTAGAACTCTCAAGCCTTTTATTGCTTCCGTCAACTTCACCAGCTCCCCTACGGCAGCGTGATTCCTCCCGGAGTATCCTGTTATGAGCAACGCTTCTTTCGCCTCGGCCAAAGTCTTAGCGATAGTCTCCACCGCGCCCTCCGGTAGTGCCCCTGGTCCTACTGGACCCCAGTGCTCTGGCTTCACGCTGTATTCCGGGATCTCTTCCTCCATTGCCTCCCTCGACCCAAGAAGATAGACAGGTCCCATTGGCGCTGTCGTTGCGAACTGCAGTGCTCTTCCAACCATCTGCTTGACATTGACCCCTCTTTTGACCTCTCCAGTGTACCGGCAATACTGCCCCAGGATTTGCTTTTGATCTGGCACATCTTGGATCCAATGGATGTACTCCGTACGGCTCCCTCTCAGCTCTCCGTCACACGTGTAGGGAGAGAGCCCAGCAAAGATGAGCACGGGTGCTCGGCCGCAGGAAGCGTTGTGCACTGCAGCTCCCAGACCTTGGGTCCCAACGTCAACATGTACTATTACGCACTGGGGCTTGCCGGTGACACGGGCGTAGCCATCGGCCATGGAGAGGGCGACCATTTCGTTGGGGCATGTTATGATGCGAGGGAACTGGCCCTTCTTTTCGATCTGGCCCTTGGTAATGGCTTCGATGATGGAGGGATGATCGGAGCCGAGATTGACGAAGCAGTGGGTCACGCCCAATTCCCAAAGTGCCTCGAAGAAGGCATCACTGGCGGTGTACCTGGACGTCTCATCAGTAAAGCGGAATTCAATTTTTCGACGTACGCAGCCGACACACGGGGTAGAGCAGGAAGCTTTACATTTTGACTGACTCGTGTGCTCGTTCACGGAGGCCACGAGGTCAAAGCAAGGAGGTCTCTATAAAAATCCCCCAAGGGATACGAAGCATATACCAGGAAAGTAGCTGACAGCTGGGATCATTTTGGTACATACTGTAGTTACTGAGATATTCGTGTAGTGGCCTGCAGCTTCCCCGCCATGTCGACACTCGACTCCATGCAAGGACGGCGGTTATCATCGGATGCGGCAATAACAACCGGAGATAACGCCGGATCGAGCACGCTTGGGCTAAAGAGCCAGAACTTAAGTAAGGTAGGACCAAACATTGATTCAGTGACCATTACAGAACTACATAGGCATGTCGTTCGAGAATCAAAAATGGCTCTGTCTAGACAACAGCTCGAAATGGTTGATCCCATAATCTAGGAACATTCTGTAACAGAATGGCGTAGCAATAGGGGACATAAGGCATCATCAGAGCTCTGATATCGAGTCGAGGCATTTAAATGAATTGTCATTGGCCGCATTCTATCTGTGGTATCTAGCTCGCAACCCGAACATATCAAGAGAAACCATTTGACGGTGAGATCCGAAAATGAGTGTGGGTATTACCATCTTGCAAGTAGCCAAACTTACGCCTCGGACATAACAAATTGGTATTCGTGGTATAATGTTGAAGGAGAGAAAGCTCAAAAGCGCCTTGCCAGAGATTTTCTTCAATCGCTTCAGGGGGTATTTGTTTGCGCAGATGGTATCGTATCATAGCCAGTCATGACGTAGGAACTGAGAAAAAGCAATGCAAGCCGAGAGAACAAGGCGGGTATTCGGATTATCTTTAACGAGGTGGCCCAATAGGGGCCGGGTATCCATTTGTAGAATGAGAGGTGCCTGGACGTCCGCTGTCGAAAGAGGCGTGTTTGTCGTGTCGGGGTGTCATATCACCGGGTACGGCGCTGAATGGGAGTTTCTGTTCGGATTTGTTCTCGAAGCGGAGAGGCCAGCCGTTGTGGCCTTCTTCTTCTGGAAGATTGACACCGCTATCATTCCAGGGGTTGCGGTAGCCACTGTCGCGTGACTCCATCGAGACGAGAGATGCGCGGGAGGCATTGGAAGAGGCGTGTTTGAAGAGAGAGCCGGGAGAGCTGGATTGATTCTTGCGGCGATCCAAAAAGGAGGAGATGGAGGAAATGCTGCCCGGCTTACGGATTTTCCCAAAGAGGGAACCGCGCTCACTAGCATCATCGGCGAAAGTAGAGCGGGTGGGAGAGTCGGTCCCGAGGGGTGCAGGAGCATTTTGCAGCAGCTTGGAGTCGAAGAAAGGCAGAGAGTCTTCGAACGAGTCAGATTTCGGCCTGGGTATTGCGCCTTTGACAGTTGTTGCGTCCAAGCCGTAGGGTATGAGCCGAGAAACCAGAAAGTCAATGGCATCTTTCAGACCGCCGGCGTTGTTGCGGGTGTATTCAAGCAGAAGTCGCGCTTCGCTGGCCTCGGTGTCGTCTACTGGCTTCGAATCGTTGCCAATACTCAGAATGACTTCGTACTGAGTCTTCAGTGTTTGTCGTACTTCGGTTTGAAACTCAGTAGACTTGAAGAATTCTCGAAGCCGAGGAGATGCAGGAACAATGATCTCATGGCTCTCAGGGACCATACCCTGGGCATCGTCAGCACCTGTCGATACGAAGATGTAGAGAAGGCACGAACCAGAAATTCATCAACGGCTTGAGGCACTTGATACTCGGGGCCAGATATGGTGACTACATCACTCGCCATTTCGGTGCTGGGAAAATCGATTTTGCAATTCCACTTTTTCTCGAGCTCGTCGATCTTATGCATGCGAGCGATAAGTTCTCTATGGTACAAGCGATTGATCACGACGGTCTCGGAGACGAACTCCGCGTCCTTCACAGCACATCAGACATGTCAGTCCGGTGTTTGTGGCTCACATGCAGAGCCAGAGAATTCCTCTGCTGGATCTTCGGGTTCACCTACCACTTTCTCAACCATGTCCATGATCTCCTGCTTGACTAAATCCAAGCTCTGAGCATTGCGTGCAGGCGTGCGGCAAATGACATTGTCAATCTTGATATCGTCGTCCTCTTTGCCAATGCCACCCCGGTCCATGGCATTGGAGAATTTGACAAAGACGGAGTACTTCTTCATAATGCGTTGAATGTGCTGGCCACCTATTCCGATGATACGCTTGTGGTACTGATCAGGTACGTGGAAGGAGATCGAAGCAGGCATCTCTTGCTCAACGAGGTCGAGCCCGTTCTTGGTGGCGTCGTATTGTGCTCCACAGACGTCAATATAGAAGTTGTATTCGTTGAAGCCATCAAAGATGATCTGGACGTTGCCTAATACCAGTACTTAGCGTCTACTTTGAGGCGACCAGAAGAGAACTGTCAAAATGTCATACTTTGTCCCATTATCTTGTTGATCTTGCCGTTCTTCTTGCCACTGACGAACTCCTTGTGCTCGTTGGCGAGTTCAATCTTGACGCGGATTTGGTACTGAGCCCGCTTGACAAATGGTATCTCATGAATGACCATCATGGCCGCCTTGACCGAGTCGTCCGATCCGTTGATATTGAATGTGAGCTTCTCGAAGCAGACATCGGACCCAGAATTAGTACAGATATCCGAGAGCATTACCCGTATGTCAGCTGGCGATGGAGCCCTCATGGACTGTGCAGAGTCATGCAGCATCAGCCACCAAGATGCACTATAAAACTGGCCAGCCTGAGCAGGTTAGCACATAGCGCCCACAAGACTTCGAGAAGAAAAAGCCTCCTCCTTACCAATGCCATGATTTCACGCACAGTGCGCTCCACGTGCAGGATCTCCGTGCCTTGGACCCGAATCAAACCACGCTGACTACCGAGCTGTGGGAACAGTACATAAGATCCGTTCGTCTCCATGACCTTGCGGACTTTATCGAGCCGGTCGAGGATTATACTGTCAATTTTGTGCGCCGAGACCATCACATCCTTGACGTAGCATTTAGTGTTCAGAACCAGCTCGTGAAGTTTTTTCTTTGCATGGTTTATGCACTCTTGATTTTCGCCAGTAATGAACACTTCATCATCGCCTCTTCGGTACGCTCCCTGCGGCGTGTACCCATAGATGCGGGGGAACGGAGGTGGGAAATAGATAGCGGTATTGGTGGCAGCTTCGATAAGGCGGATATTTTTGCGAGTTCGACCACATATAATTGTATGTAGGGACAGCTCGAGCTGCAACGATCCATAAGTCCGGTGCAGCTGTCCGGTAGTCAGCGAATGTCCGCGTTTCCAGCAGCAGTAGAGCTTACCACTCTGTCGATCATGATGAGCACTCTCGTCTTTGCATGCTCCGAGCTCTCTGGATCGCCGTAGATTGCGATGCGGAGTCTTTGGTCAAAACGTTGGTCACTCCCATTGCCATAGCTTGAAGCGGGACCTTCTGGATCACTGTGCTTCGGATTGAGCAAGAAAATATCAGTACCAGTCCACGTGGCAACACCGTCGAGGTGTTTGAGAACTTCGGCTCTGACGCCGGTCATGTCCTGAGTGATGACAAGGTTGGTATCGATGTCGACTATAGCACATCTCTGTCATCGTGTCAGCATTGATGAACCTTCACAGGGGTTGTGGAGGATCTTTACTAATGCGATGGGCGTATCGTTCAATATTTTGGCTCGCATCTTGTGCACAGTCTCATTCTCGCCAGAGATACAGACATTGGTCACCAGACCCTTCAGAGGTCTTCGTTGCAATGCAGGTATTGGCTTGGGCTCGGAAGAGGTCACTGTAGCCTCGAGTCGTCCTTGACTTCCTTCGTTTAAGACTCGGCAAGACCTTCTCAGCTGCTCTACGTTGTAATGATGCACTGGCAGCTTGTGTATTGGCGTTCCCTCCTCCGTCCCTTCCGGGAAGGTCCATCTTTCCAGAGCTTTGGGACTCGCGTGGAGGATTTCGTCGACGTCGGGACCGCTCAAGTTGGAAGAGAAAGGGACGTTGAAAGACAGGTTGACGATGGTATCAGCAGGGGTCAGAGGCGATATGGGGGTGCCATTCATTGGACGTTTGATGGGCTGGGCGATGGGAAGGTCCATGGGATTCGGCCTCGACATGAGGCCGGCCGGGGTCATCTTCTCCAAGCCATGACGAGCCTGACCTGTGATGTTGCTGAACCTCTGCATAATGCACCTCTCTACCTCCCCTCACGGTGCCGATGCTATCAAAGGAGGGGGATGAAGCATCTGCAGCGGCTGAGCTTGAAGGTGCAGGAGTGGGGAATAATGGTGGGAGAGATGTGATAAAGTTAGGGCGCGAGGAGGAGAGTAAGTTAGCAAGGTTTCAGACTTTCAGTTGTTCGACGCGAATCAAGAATCAAAGATGCACAGGGAATCGGAGATGTGGGCAGTGCATTTATCCATAGGGCTGAATGAATAATGCCCCTTGATCGAACTAGAATCTTGGGGACAGGCTAAAGTATGTACAGTACTAAGGTCAAGTACCTACTAATACTGAAGTGCATGCTGAGTCGAATATGTCGATACAAGTACATATAGGTATACAGAATGTCTAATGATTGAGAGGATGAGTGAGTGAGCTAAGGTACTTCATGCACTCCATTCTTACTATTATCATTATCATTATCATTACTGTACCTATTACCGTATTGTTAATTAATGCAGCAAATGCATCCTTTTGGAGAGCGAAACCGGTCTTGTAGATTCTATCTTTAGCTATGTGGAGATATGGAAAAGCCGGAAGCTTCGGCCAATGATTTGCCGTTGCCATTTGTCATGACTAAGATACCGAGGATACTGTAGAGTATCTCAGGTAAATAATCATCATGGTTTCGAGTCAATATTGGTGAAAACAGTAGTCTGACTTCTATCGAGGCGATGAAATATGCTGTTCCGTAGTATATGAATGATCGATTTTTATTCCTTGTCAATCTCTCTCTCTCTCTCTCTTTCTATTAGGAACATTCCGGAAAAGTACTTGCTTCGGTCACAAGGCTCAACTTCCAACCATTGCTCCATCGGCGACGAGGATCCATCCAGCCATCCAGCCCATCTGCCACCGTGATTTACACCTAAACTGTTGAACAGATTTCTTAACGCAATACTTGCCGCCTTCCCGCGCTCCCCGG